ATGTACACACACTTTTTTCTGAGGGAAACTACACTGACTTGTAAATTTTTATTTACCAAAAATTTCTTTTTTTATTTAGCAAAATATTGAGATATTTTGTATTTATTTATTTATTTATTTATTTTTAACTTCAAAATTTATTTTTGCAACTTTTTGAAACAGAGAAAAACGACAGCATCTTGGGGAAGTAGGGTAGAGGGCAGGCCCACTGAGTGTTCCCCACAGTCCCTGGAGATGAGGGGCCTGCCAGGGAGAGCCAGGAGCTGCCCGACTGCATGGGGCTCAGCTACCCTGTGAGGCTCAGTGGGACGATTCCGTTACCGGGAAAGGCCAAGCCGCTACAGGGCTAAGTCCTCAAAGTCTTCGGGCTCATCGTTCAGGCAAGTGCCACCAGTCCTCAGAGTCAATCGTCTCGTTGTCCTTCCCACCTGCAGCCACCCTGTCCAGCTTAAAGGTGCCAACCTCCTCTTGGTCGTCGTCCTCATAGAGGCTGCTGCTCTCTCTCCTTGGTGAGCTCCCAGAAGCAGTTTCCCCACTGGGTCCTATAAATGCCAGATGCTCCCACTCCCTGGCCCTTGTCTCTTCTCCACGGCCCTCAGGGTAGGCATGCTTGAACAAACAGTTCCCTCCAAATGGGCAGCTCCTGCGGCCCTGAGCAAAATAAACGCAGGCCTTGTTGCTCAGTTCCTCCTTGTACTTCTGAATGAGCTTCTGCTTCTCTTCTCTGTCCTCCATCCAGTACTCTCTGGGCACAACAAAGTGAGAGGAGATCTGGCACTGGGGGCAGGCCTGTGTGGCCTTGGTCTCAAAGTCCTTGGTCCGCCTCCACTGGTGAATGCATTGGAGGCAGTAAGTGTGGTTGCAGTTGGGAAGGATCCTGAAGCTGCGCTGCCTGGAGTCGGCTTTCTGGTATACCACCTCCAGGCAGCTGCCACAGGCCAAGTCCTTGCTGCTCTGCACAGCAAAGGACAGCTCCACGTCCTTCTCCAGGGCCTCCAGGCAAGATTTTCTGTGCTGCCCCCCCATTCCGCATCCGTGGGGTGCAGGGGGCACAGCTCACACAGGTCGCAGGCGTCGCCATGCAGGTAAACACAGCTGTCCCCGTATCGGCACCGTCTTGTGGTGGTGTAGCGGCAGAGCTGCTTCTTGGTCTCCTTGGGCACTGAGCCCAGCACAGGTACCTCTGTGCGGGCGGAGGCAATGCGGCCGTGGTAGGGCTGCCTGGGCACGAACTCGATGTCTTCCATCCAGTCCAGGGACCCTGGGCCTAAGGCTGGGAAGTTGGTGCCCAAGGACTCCGCCCACCCGGATCCACTTCTCCCGTAGTGGTCTGGCCACAGAGGGGCTCCAGACAACCACAAAGGGTGGTTTCGCAGTTAGATCCGGAGCAGAGGCTTCTTCGCGTTTCAGTGGCCCGTTGTGTTCATATCTGCAGTGGTCTCTTTACAACGCAGTACCCGCACTGGAAATACAGGCAGGCTACCCTGGAGGGAGTGTCACAGAGGTCCTGCTGTGCCAACAGTTATCTCCTTCCCTACAAACTCCAGGTGTGAAACACCTTTTTTGCCTACTCGGGAACATGCTGTTCTCACTGCTGTTGTTTCTGTGCTCAGGAGATATGCAAGCTCCCCAAGTCTTGCTGGTCTTCTGCCTCTCTCTACGTAGCTCTGGAGCAACTTTCTTTTTCCTCTTTAACTGCTTTCCAGCTTCACTGTCAAAATTCCTGCTGTGGCTGCTCTTGGTGTTTGGTGTTGAAGGACACAAAAGGTCTGTCTGAGCACTGGGGATCCGAAGGCCTGGAGCTCAGAGTAGGGTCCTTTGTGGGTTGGTATCAGAAGGGCGGAGAGTCTCCACTAGAAGGCTGAAGGGTCCCTGCTGGAGACTGAAAAGTCTTTGCTAGAAGCCAAGAGGCAGTGTCCAAGGTCAAAGCAAAGATTGGAGCTACTCTGAAGGACAAGAGCAATTCTTCTTTCTTGGCTTCCCTTTTCTATGGTTCTAACCCTAACCCTCCCTAGGGTGGATCTTTCATGCCCAGCTAACCCTCCCTAGGGTGGATCTTCCTGGCCCTGATAACCCTCCCTAGGGTGGGTGATCCAGGTCCTGATAACCCTCCTTAAGGTTGGTCTTCCAGGCCCTGAACTATGCTGAGCCAATATACTCGAGTGTTACTTGCTGAAGTTGACAGGATCAATTAACCTTTATAGGGATCTCTTCACTGTGAGTTCAAAAATTGATCATTTTTACCTGGAGGATTTGAGAACACTCTGGAAGACAGATTTTATTGCAGTTGGATCATCCGTCCTGTGATTGATTTGTGCCCATGGTGCTTCAGGAACTTGGTTGTGAGGCACCTAACGCTTCTAAGTGTCAGAGAAATGCAAATACTTTCCAAACAAAGTTTGACTTGAGGGTATTAAGATGATACTTTTGGCAAACCTCCCAAGTTGTCCTAAAAATGCCATAATGTCCTCCAATTTCATCCATATTGTCAAAAATGACAATTTTTCCTTCTCTCTAATGCCTAAGTGGGATTCTGTTGTGTAGGTTTTCTTTATTCTTTTCCCTGGCTTATTCACAAATGGGGTTGTGGATCCATTCTTTCCCAGTTGAGAGGTCTTTTGTAGTTGAAAAGTCATGCTCAACTCTTGAAAGCCGAGACAGGTGATCAGGACCAGCTGGTAGAAAGAAAGCTCTGGCTCAGTCTCTTTCAAAATCTCAGCCAGTATCTTCAATTGTAGTCTTTGGTTTCAATAATCTGATACCTCCATAGAATATAAATTTACCGACACATAAAGTAGCAACCTCCTTGGCAATGAGATTAAAAAAACTTTCAGTTTTTCTCATGCTTTGTGTCCTTCCTCTCTTTTAATTCTTGTAGTAATTTCTCTGCAGTTTCATTTTTCCTGCTTATCATCTGGCCTTGGCTTCCAAGCCTCAGTGCAGGTAGGATAAATCCAAACATCTGTCAGTTAAATTGAAGAGCCAGAGATGAGAGTTTGGAGAGGCTATAGTGGATATTGCTTGTTGGTAGTTTTTGGCAAAATAGTTTGTAGAAGTTTTAGTCCATAATTGGCCAACTCCAAGGCAAAGATAACAAACAGGCATGGGAGACCAAAAACAACATGGTGCACACAAGGTAGCAAAGGTAACAAGAGAGATATTTGTATTTTAATATGCAACTATTCCATGGTGTTCCTTCTATTTTAGGATTATATCATGATCTAAGTAGGCAACCCTCTTTTTAGACATATATATTGCACTAAATGTTGGGGGTTTTTTTGTTCCGTGGATCAAACTTGAGTCCTTGTGCTTGCAAGGCAGGCAGCGGAACCACTGAGCTAAATCCCCGGCCCTGTACTAAATGTTTATTATAATTATTTCTGAAATGAATGTTCATCCGTACATCTTAATTTCCCTCCTCCTCCTTCTCCCTCTCCTCCTCCTCCTTCTTTAATTTACTTAGTTTCAATTCTTATTGGTAGCTTTCCTGTGCCATAGGATCTGTATTAGTTTAAGGTTTGCTAAACTTAATGACCTGTTCTCTGGATCAGTTCTACCAATGTAAGGCTTTGGGGCAGTCAGCGGCTTTAACAGACCTTTGGAGCCACAGTGCTGTGTTTACTGTGTCAGCTCTTTGCACATTTGCTGCAATCAGCCTGACCTTGTAGTTCCTGAGATTACTTCTGGTAATGAATTTGGGTTTGGGAGTGTACCTATGGATGGACCTGGAAGTGTTCTGAAGACTCTCAAAGATCTTAGAAGCAAATCACTTTGGTCTTCCTAGCAGATCTCAGCCAACAGGGTCTATTTGAAAATGGCTAACTTCCAGGATCAGATTTTAGCTGAGGCCCAATATATCCCGGACAATAATGAAGTAAAAAGCAAGGCTGAAAACCAGAATTTTAAAACTTTCATTTAATGAGCTTAAAAAGATAGCTTCTTGAATAGAAAAACAAACAAACAAACAGAAAATAAGGTAGTAGATCTACCCCCTGGTACTTCTTTTGCAACACTTGATACCTTTTATTTTGTAAGTGAGCATTATTAAATTTAGGCATGGGCTGCAAAGGAGCAATATGTCAGATTACAGTTGACTTGATGTATGCTTGCATAATCCCTTCCATACCTAGAAGTCCATTAGTCATGGAAGAAACCATACCTGGGTTCAAATTCTAGTCCTCCATTTATGATGTCCTTGAGCAAGTTCTTTCACTTTCCTCATCTGTAGTTACCCCAAGTACATAGGATTTCTGTGAGGAGAAATCAAGTATTTAAAGCAACTAAGGACAGCACTTGGTTTCATGGTAGTGCTCAGTGAACATTTGATGAGTTAATGAATTCATTCCCCCAGGAGCAAAATTGGATTTTAGGTTACTTTCTGATGGAGTTCTTCTTGCTCATAAGTATATAAGTGTGCTTAGCAGTCTCTGAGGTGTTGTTTTCAAATTTTCTAATATTATATGTCCCTCCACTAGCACAAAATTTCCTTAGTAGAGTGGGTTCCTAGCACTGGTGTTGTGCCATGCATTGTGGTTTATATCAAGATGTTCCTCCAAAGTCTCATAGACGGGATTTGGAAGGTGATTGGGTTATAGGGGCTTATAGCTGACTTGCTGTTAGGAGGTGGGGGCTGGTCAGAAGAGAAGGGTCACTGTGGGGTTACCTGGAAGGTTACATCTCCCTCCCTTGACTCTGTTTCCTGTCTGCCATCCGGTGAACAGCTCTACTCTGCCATGTGTCTCTGTCATGCCATCCTGCCTTGGAGCCAGCCAATGGTGGACTGAAATGTGGAGCAAAATAAACCTCTCTTCCTTTAAGTTGCAGGTGTTTGGTGGTGTGTCTCAGTGAACCATATCTAGGACAGTGCCTGGCACACAGAAGATGTTGAATCAGTATTTGTCGTGATGGACTCCTTGCACTCTTTCCAGTGACCAGGGTGCTCAGTACAGAACTGCCCTTTCCCCTTATCACATCATTCATTGATCTGTACTTGGTTCCAGCCATTCTCCGTTATCTGAAAAATGATGGGAAGATTCATTTGGTAGTTTTCAACAACCTACAGCTGGCTGACGGGAGGCGACACCGGATCCTCTTAAGGCTGACCAATTTGCAGCGAGGGGCTGGCTCTGTAGAGCTCTATGTGGACTGCAACCAAGTGGATTCTGTTCACAACCTCCCCAGAGCCTTTTCTGGCCCCTCCCAGAATCCTGAGTCCATTGAGTTGAGGACTTTCCAGAGGAAGGCCCAGGTAGGAACCACCATTCTCCAAAGTGGATGGATGAATTGCCATGGCCTGAGGAGCACAGAGACATGTGCTATGGAAAATGTCAGCTTATTTCTGTTCTGGGTCAGGGGGTCTAATGCTGGCTGCATATTTGAATTAGCCAGGGAACTTGCAAAACACGTGCCAGAGGGCCAACCTCAAAGCAAGTTAGTCAGAATCTGTGGGATGGGTGCCTAGGCACCAACACTTAAGAAATACGGATTATAACATGAAGTAAAAATTGAGAGCTCTATTTTCAATGATAAGTAGACCCTTTGGAGTTGACTGTTCCACTTCTAACATTAGAAAGGAGCAGCTAAAATAAAAATAATTACCTTCATGTGATATGATTATCTATTCTCATTCTTTCTTTAATGCTGTTAGTTTTTAATGAAAATAAAAAAGAATGGTTGGAAACTGCCAAGTCCAAGGAACAATATTTTTTTACAGGCAGGACACCACCAACAAGAAGGAACTTATTGCAGCTTAGTTCCATGTAGTCTTAAAAAGTCTCATCACCGCTGACTTCTGTTTTATGCTGTTGACAGGGTTATTTTTGTTGTTATTTTATTATCATTGCACCTGCTATACAAATTGCCACATACATTTATTTTATAGTTTTTGTACTAGGAAATGCTTTGTTTCTTATAAATAACTGGCATCTTTTGTCTTTCCTAATAATTTATATCTTGTCATAGTTCTTGAATTTTATCTGTTATAGAAGTCAATGTCAAAATGAATTAACTATGTTCATCTGTTATGGCCCATAATATTGTTGTCTGCTATCTCCCAGTGCTCATTTTCTGTTTCTGTTCTATTGTTTAGTTATATGTATTTTGGATACAAGCTGCTCTGTGCTCTTGTACAAAGAGACGGGGAGTAAACACCAATTTCCATTATAAGTACAATCTATGACTCTGATCCTAGAATTTTGTGCTTGAACAGTAGGAAATATTTTAAAGCAGAAACTCCCACAAAAGCTAGAATCTAAGAGGGGTTTTTAGTTATTTTAATTTTTGTTTTGCAGAGTCACATATATAGTCCTTTATATGGACTTATTTATATGTAGGAAACATTAATAAATAGAAAAAATATACTAAACTTTATTTCTGAATTCTCAAACTAGCCCAAGTAATCAGGATGACAGTCAGAAATTGTAACACTGACCATTTCAGAAATTGGTGTTCACAATCAAAAATGTCATTTTATAAGTCTGGCCTCAGCTGTGACAAGGTCATGAGAAGCTACACTCATGGAATTTTCTCCAAAACTTTGCCTGCTTTGACAGTCAGCAGAGGCAAGAAGCTTTGTCTTTGTAGTCAACTACACATACAAGCAGCTAATGAGTCAACAAATAGGCACATTCTGGGCATTTAGGATCACATGGTGGGCAGAACCATGACTGGAGCTTAGAGTCTGATGCCCCATACAGCATCTGTCACAACATAGCATCTGTGGCATAAATCTTAACCTAGCTAAATTAAAAATTAGAATTCCTTGAAAATTCTTAGCATGTTCATTTCTAAAACAGGGATGGTGGCTTTAATTAGCAGTTAACACATACCTTTTTTGTCATACATAAATATGATTAAAGGAGTATGAGCAAAACTTAGAAGATAAAGAGCCAAGGAAATTGATGTTGTGGCTGACAATGATTGATATCAACTGGTAATTTAAAAATACAGCACCAACTACTTAAAGATCACAGAATACACTGCTTATTCATTGTCATAGCCCGAGGAAATCAGAGGCTTTGCAAAAATCTGAAGCCAAGACATCCTAAAAATGATATTGATTAAAATTGGGATCAATATCTTATAGCCTAAACTGTGTAAACATGTTCCAGGCAGTTCTTATGGGGCTCCTCCACAAATAACTCACTTACTATGAAAGAAAACAGCCTTTTATTCCTCAGCCACTTTGATGAACTTGGAGGCCAAGTTGGATGCCAGCATTCCTAAGTGGCTAGCTACTTTCATATTTTCTTAAGTCAGAAGGATAGGGCTGGTGGGCTTTCAGAAAAATGTGAACCTACAAAGTTATGTAAGACGTTGATTAAGTACAGTATACATAGATGCCTACTCCACTGTGAAAATTGTGAGTCTGTGAGCATATCAGCTTTTGAATGGTGGCAGCAACCTGTGGTATAAATGTGATTTCTTCCAGGACTTCTTGGAAGAGCTGAAGCTGGTAGTACGGGGATCACTGATCCAAGTGGCCAGCCTGCAAGACTGCTTCCTGCAACAGAGCGAGCCATTGGCTGCCACAAGCACAGGTGTGGTGTGGGCTCCAGGGAGGCTTGCATATCCTTAAAAGCTCCAAGGTCCACGAGGGGGCTGGGTCCCAGCCCCATTATGGAGGCTATCAACAAGGCAGCCTGACAGAGTGGATCTGCAAAATCAGGCTTTTTTGCAAAGTCCAGGGCAAGGAATCTTTTCATTGCACTTTTATTTTTGTAACTCACATGAATTTGGACTAGCTTCACAGGGACTTAAGTAGCATTATTTTGCTTGGTGAATTAGATAAATTACTATAAGTAAAATGCAAACCCTAGGTTTTGTAATCATCTTGTCATGATGATTTTGTGGGAAATCGTTTGGTTTTGAGTCACTTAGAAATGACTGTCATGCACCTTACACCTTTTGCTATTCCTGCAGGGGATTTTAATCGACAGTTCTTGGGTCAAATGACACAACTAAATCAGCTACTGGGAGAGGTCAAGGATCTTCTGAGACAGCAGGTAACAAACAGGATGTAACATGAGAAAAGTCTGAATCTTAGCAGAACAGCTCTGTGTACACCATCTGAGCTACGGGGTAGCACAGGCAGGAAGGGAAGTGACCCTGAGTTACTGCTCATGTGGCCCCACACAGCTTGCCATGCTGGGACTCAGCCACATAATCTCTGGAAATGGGGGGACATGCTTGCATGAACCCCCCCCATGGCTCTAGGCAGAGTGAGAGCTATCAAGAGCTTCTTGAGTACTATGTGGTGTGATCCAAGACTACAGTGAATGTTTAATTTTTTTAAAATTTTATTACAGTGTAAAAGACATTGCAATTAATTCCCTCTTCAGAATTCTCCCCTTCACTTTGAACAGGCTCATCCCATTATTCTTGCCATCATTTTCTGTGAAGGTCTTTAATTGCCCTGTCTTGGCTGCCTCTACGTCCTGAATTCATTCAAAAATGTCAAAAATGGTGACTTTGACATTGGGAAGAGCCAGAAGTAGCATGATGCCAGATCCAGTGAATAAGTGGATGAGGACACAGTATAATATTTTTAGAACCCCACCTTTCTGTTGGATGGAGCTCAGCAACAGCATTCACTGTATTTTTTAATCACACCTTGTAAAGACACCACAAAAGAAGACTCCCAGAACTGCTTCTGAAAGTGTCAAGTATAATAGAATAAGTGTGTTGGAATCTAAGGGGAGGATTTTGAGCGGGATTAGTGGCAATGTGTCTTTTACTATAATAATTTTTTTAATGTAAACATTCACTCTGTGTCTTGATCACACCTTATACTGTAAAAGTGTTTCTTAGATAACTGCATCTGAATTCTTTCATTCCTGGATTATACCAAGTATTCCATTTGGATCTTATTTCCCCTTCCCATTTCTAAAGGTCAAGGAAACTTCACTTTTGAGAAACACCGTCACCGAATGCCAGGCTTGTGGTAAGTGCTCATTCTGAGTTGGGTGGGGTAGACTGGCAGAGGGTCTGAGCTGAGCCCACATGACTGTGGTTTGGGCAGTTCTCCACAGGGTTGGAGGGAAGAGAGAAAAAGCTTATTACAAAACCAAATTTTGTTTTGTATCCTAGATATTTCCCTAGTAGTGAAGAAGCTTATGGGTTATTGTTTTTCTCTAGGGCCTCTCAGTTTTCAGTCTCCAACCCCAAACACACTGGTGCCTCCAGCACCCTCAGCACCCCCAGCACCCCCAGCACGCCTGCCACGTCGCTGTGACTCCAACCCATGTTTCAGAGGTGTCCGATGCACGGACACCAGAGATGGCTTCCAGTGTGGGCCCTGCCCTGAGGGCTACACAGGGAATGGGATCACCTGCTCTGATGTTGATGAGGTACAAGTTCTGTTATGGAGGCAGGGGCCTCTGAAGTCATTTCCACACCTAACAGCTTCTGGAAAAAGGAGCCACACTGATGAGTCATGGGTGACTCAAGTTGTCTTCCAGGCTCCATAAAAAACTACTTCCTTCCACATCCTTGGAGACCCTGGGACACAGTGAGCAGTGGAAGAGGAAAGCATGACACACAGTTGTGACCATGTTTGTCACTTCTGTTTCCAGCTTTATAGCCCATATTGCTACAGTGCTATGATTCCTGCTCTTCACTCTAACAGCTTCATCAATTAATTTTCCTAAGCAGTCTGTGTTAAGACTTTGCTTTTCTTATGCTTTTGCAAATGTGGGAGAGGAGGGTCTGTGTAAGAGTATATTTCAGGAGTTACAACCAACAGTCACACCAACAAGATCTGTTGGTGAGGGCTGTCATGTGAGTAGTCCAAAGTGCCCAGGGATGGAGCCAGTGAGAGCACACTCAGCCAACAGGCTGTGTGACCAGCAGGCAGGTCCTCAAAAACAGTCTGTTTTAAGACCATGGTTACCCAGTCACAAGTCCGATTGCAAAGCAGTGTCCATAGAGAGTAGCTAGGCTGCCACCAAAACAAGCTTTTCCCTTCCCACTAGCCACAGTAAGGGTGGGAGGAGATGTGCAGGAAGAAGGGCATGCAGGGAGCTGAGACACTGGTGTCACAGGGCCCTGCAGGCTCTGCTAGCACCCACTGATTACCTCCTGATGGTCCTAGTGATTCCTTGATTATAGAACCATATGCACATCTTTCACACAACTGCACCTGGTTTTTATCTGGAACTGAAATTTTCCTCCTTTCTAAAAGGGCAGTAAGTGGTCACGTTTTTTACATTAGTTGAAGTGGTTTCAAAAGAAAAAGGATCAGAGCCAATCTCCTGGACTCTTGCCTTGGAATAGCCCATGAGCTTATAGGTCAGGAAGGCAGGCATAGACCTGAAGGAGCCCATCTTCCTGAAGAAGCACTGGGCTTGGCTTCATCTTCTCCAGGTCTTTCCATTTGAGGAGATGATCTACTAATGCTTTGGGAATCATCAACAGCCAGCTGACAGATGGCCAAGGAACATAGTCCTTCCACAGAGTTTTGTAAATTCCAAGTTAGACTATCAGGGGCTTCCTCTACTGGAGGGTGGGAGTAGTCTGGCTGACAGGCAGGACCCTTTGAACTTGGATGTGCCATTATCCTGCAGTGCAGTAAAGCCCTAGTAGTGTTGAAGGCAGCCCCGATCCAGTGGGTCAAGGATTCAGTGGGTTACTATTAAGTTGGAAGCCTTATTTTCTTATCATTTTCTACATAAAATACAGTTAAATGAATAAACAAGCATGCACACATAGGTGGGGGAGACAGACTTTGAGGATGTTTTCTCCATGTGGCTAAAGACTGAATTTTTTTTCCTCCAGTGCAAATACCACCCCTGCTACCCAGGTGTGCGCTGCATGAATTTAGCTCCTGGCTTCAGATGCGATGCCTGCCCCGTGGGCTTCACGGGGCCCACTGTGCAGGGTGTTGGAATAAATTTTGCCAAGTCGAACAAGCAGGTGGGCCAAAGTTATGGCATTTATTCATTTTTCATCTTAACAGAACAATTTCCCAACTCTTCAGCATAACCCTTTTTCTCCTAGAGCGGCCTATGCCATGTGGGATGTCATGGTGCACAGTGAACAAACTGGGAGGTTTTTCAACTCATTTCTGATGATATACACTCACAAAGTCTAGAAGAGAGGAAGCTGTTGAAGTTGGCATAATAAAATATCACTAGATAAACAGTGACAGGGGTAATTCTGGAAATGTGTCACAATGTCTGACTTACCTTGCTGATAGCCTGTGGACATTCTGTCCTGCAGAATAACTTAAGACTCAGAGAAACAAATAAAAGCTTTGAAAAATTAAGTACCTCTCATAGAACCATTATTGCCAATCAAAAGCATTTCAGAGATGAGAGGATTTCTAGAGTAGAAATAATCCCCTGAGGGAACCTACCCTTTTTCTTATATAAGTTATAAATGGTCATAAACTACTCGAATACATCATGACAGTCTCCATTTATTTCCAAATGTTCTTTGACATTCTGGTTATTATTTAACTGACTGACTGTGAAATTCTTTTTGATGTTTTCAGTCCTTAAAAATAGTTGGCCTATAAATATATTTTACTACCTCAGGGAAATGATTAGCTTTGAAGAAGGACAGGGGTTTATTATTTCCTTGCTGCCTATCAGGAGATACTAGAGAGTATCAGTTACCTAGACTAGAAAAAAGAGGAAAACTCGACACAGAGCAATGACAAGGAGCCATTAGAGAAATGACCCCTTAGTTTTTCTTCTCCTGTAAAGACAAAAGTCTCCAAGATTCAGCAAAAGAAAATAAACAAAATGAAATATAGAGTGCTTGACGTAAGCTAGTAAGGCCATTTCTCAGCAGATTCCCAGAAATATGGTAGGTGAACCTGAAGTAGAAGGGAGCCACCTTGTGAAAATTTCACAATAAATTTTAATGCATTATCAAGGTCAAAAGAAATAAAAGCCCATGTTGCAGCTTCTAGAAACAAAGAAAAGAAGTTGTATCTGTGCGTAGAAGCTGATGCTACAGCCACTCATGGGTGTGAGTCCTAGGAGTGGCAAACAAGGCCTTAACACACGGATACAGAAAACATAGCTTGGAGTTCAGAAAGACCCAGAACGCTGCATAAAGCAAGGAGCCCTAGAAAACTATCCTCTCCACTACATTGAGATGGGAAACTAGTCTTAAGGAAAAAGAAGGAAACTTGATTTCAGCTTTGAGACATGGTAGACAGAAATGAAAATTGCTCATCACAAAACAAATCTCCAAACTTGTACCACAAATATTTACCACATTATAGTGATAAGCTACAAATCTATGTTACATATCTGATGCAGAAATTACGATTTCTCATACAAACCAGCCATTAGAGCTGTCAAATCCAGGCCCTTGACTGAAGTCAAAGATATAACATGGTGTGGGGACATTCCAAAATTCAAGAGCATCTCCAGGCAAAATCAAGGCCCTGCTAAGGATATGCTCATGAAGTAGTAGTTTATGTGAAGGAACCACTACTAGGAGATAGTAAAATAAATTTTAACATTTATTTCCCAAAAGATAAAGAGCTAAAGAGATAAAAGAAAGAATAGATATCATAATTTTAAAACAGAGCACTGTGAAAAAAGACAAGTTTGAAAAATAGCCAAATAAATTTTATCAATGAAAAATATAACCACTGAACTTAAAAACTCAATAGATGGGTGAATAAAGGAGACACAGCTAACTGGCAATTCATAGGCTGAGAGATGATTCTAATAAAAGCTTTAAGAATGCAGAACATTAAAATAAATGTATGAAAAATATAATCAAGAAGGTAAGGGTCAAAAAGAGATTAATGAGAAAGCCCAATATTTCTCTACTGATCGTTGTAAAGAAAGAATAGAAATAATAAAAACTGAAGAAAAGCTGAGAATTTTCTAGAATTGAAGAAAGATAGGACTCACATGTAGATAGAAGTACACTGAGTCCCAGGCAGAATTAAAAATAAAAAACTTTCCTGCCTGAAAAGTGGAACAAATGAATTGTGAAAGTTGTCTTTTCTGAACAACTCTAAATACCACAAAGGCAATTATCATCTCCAATAAAATTTAATACAGACTGATACAAAGGCCCAGAAACAACTAATTTAACCCCCAGATGCTGCTTTACTTGAAATTCTAGATGTCTTCACTTCACACAAAGATGTCAAAACATGAGAAACTCTGTGTTGCTATTTAGGTAGCAGACCTCTAACTTTCCTTAACCTTTTCCTCCAGATGTGCATTGATGTTGATGAGTGTCGGAATGGAGCCTGTGTTCCCAATTCTATCTGTATCAACACTCTGGTAAGTACAGCAGTTCCTGAAACAAGTGTGTGCTTAGGGACCACACCCACAAGCGCAGGTAGAATTATTAACATAATACATGATTGTCAGGGTTAAGGCAAAAGTTTGTGCTAAAAGCATGTTTACTATGAATTCTTTTACTAGTAATTATTTATACAAGATCAATTTTATAACTGTCAAGTTAGTTATCTTCTATCAAAATTGCAGTATTAGACTCTTAGATGGCTATTTATTGAATATAATATTCCTATCCTTATATTTAAAAACATGAAGAGACTGTTTATATTAGTAGTTCAGTCTTTTACTGGTGACTATACAATCCCCAAACAGCATTCTTTATTTTCATAAAACTTTACAAGAGTTCACTGGGTGTGGTGGCACATGCCTGTAATCCCTGCATGTGACAGGCTGGTGTAGGAAGATCACCGTGAATTTGAGGACAGCCTGGGATACATAGTGAATTCAAGTCCAGCCTGAACTACATAATGAGACCCTGTTTCAACAAACCAAAGCCAAAACAAAGCAACATTTTCAACAGTCATTTGTATTAAAATGCTGACCGCTAACAAGGTCTATAATTTAAATGTTCAGATATGGGTTTTATTTCTGAAAGTTCCCATCAACAGTGTCAAGATGAAAGACATAGCAGAATAGACTATGGACAGAAAAGTATTGATTCCATGTACAACTATTTCTAACTTAATGTACAATCCTGTGGAAGTTAATTCATAGGTTTCTCATTTCCTTGTGCGTGAAAGTCTTTTACAGATACCAAGTCATTTATTGCATCTTTATAGCAACCTATGAATAGACACTACTGCCATCCCTACTTTACAGTTGGAGAAACTGAAAGGTACTTAGGGTCATTAAACTTCCAGTCTACCTACACAGCCTGAGTTCTTCTCCAAAATGCTACCCTGCTTAGGAATATGCCCAGATTTATTTCTTGTTTAGTTCTTTACCAGGACAAAGTGAGTCTGCAGAAATAGATTTGGGAACCCTTAGTATCAAGACAATAACAAAAGCCACCCAGAGAGAAGAAAAGTAGACAGTGACTAGAACTCCAGGGACCCAACCCCCAGTGAAGTAGTAGACAAAGGAAAAGAGCAGAAGACAAGAAAAGGAGTGAGCTGATAGCATATCTGGTGAGGCTACAAGATCAAGAAAATCTTCGAAAAGTATCTTTTGAACTTGTCAATTAATAGGTCCCGAATGACTAAAATCATTAACTATACTTTTTATGGGTCTTTCATGATGTATAATTTTATCTCAATAAAGCTTTATAGTACAAATAAATTTTGAAACATGATAACTATCATCAAAAATTTGTATTATATATATTGACTTTCCTAAGAAAGTAGACCTTAAGTATTCTTGCCAAGTGGAAAAAAAAAAGATAATCACATGAGGTGACAGGTATGTTAATTAGCTAGCTGGGAATTATTGTGCAATGCATACATTTAGCACAATGCATACATTATATGCAATTTTATTTGTCAATTATACCTCAACAAAGATGAAAAATTAATATTTAAAAAACACTTTAAAGAATATATGTACACATTTAAAATTTATTTTTAAAAAAGGTCTTGCCTGGCCCCTAAGTGCCGCTGCAGAGGAACTGACAGCAAAATTGCCAGGTTTCTTCTTTCACACCAGCCTCCTTCTCAGGAGTTCTCTATGCAAGCCAACAACATTGCTCTCTCTGTGTGGCCATGTCCTCGTCATTCAATTGCACAAGATCCAAGGAACAGGAAAAAGATTCAAACTGTCTCCCTATCCTCTCACTCTACCTCCCAGGACATCCCTGGGCCTTGAGACTTTTCTTCTTTGCCCTCCATGGTGGATCTGTGAGTCAGAGTGTGGCTGGCTCCACACCAGTCCTTTCTGTCTTCAGTTGCAGCTCTTCACGTCTGCATGGCCAGTGGCAGCTTCCAGTCTGACGGTGGTCTCACCAACAGTCTACGAACACCTAAGACTCGCATGGGAGCTGAGAGACAGCACAGGCTGCACTTAGTCTTGGCCTCACTGAGATTATAAAAAGAAACACAACAGTGGTACCTGTGTCCACAGGGTTGAGCACTGCCTCATCATCTCATCTTTGTCGCTTGCAGGGATCTTACCGCTGTGGGGCTTGCAAGCCAGGGTACACTGGCGATCAGATGAGGGGTTGCAAAACAGAAAGAAATTGCAAAAATCCAGACCTGAACCCTTGCAGTGTGAATGCAGTGTGCATTGAAGAGAGGCAGGGGGATGTGATGTGTGTGGTAAGTTGTATGTTTACTTGTGGTATTATTTTTCCTCTTTTGTTTTCAATATCACCCCTCCAGTTTCTACTTGCATCAGGGTACAAGAGCTCTAAAATGGAAATAGTGCAATCAAGATGAGCATAGAATGTAATAATAACAGGGTGAGCTTGGTATGTTTCACAGAGGCCTATCTAACCTCCAGTTGCCTTTTCTCTCGCCAAGGGGTGACCTTTCTCTTGGCCAAGGGATACCACCAACCTCTTGGGCAGCTGCATGGTGGAGCATCAGCTCCCAAGCACTGTCTGTGGAAAGGCCCAGTGGCAGGGCAGTGAAGGCCTCCTTTCCTTTCCTTCTTCTGCCCCATCAACCTGTTCATATACATTATAAGCATATTGCTGTCATTTCTAACTGTCTTCACCCTCAGTGTGGCCTAGGAGGTAGCTGGGTGGATGGATGGCAGTGCAAAGGTGGGGGGTTGCTGTAAACCCTCAGAGGGAAACCTTTCATCTCCTGCTGGTCACCATTCTTGGGGTCCCCCTCCATCCCAGTCCAGGGACAGCTCAGAGAGTAGTCACTCTTGCTGTCCTGGAGGCACGTTGAGCAGAGGGGGGCCAGACAGAGGGCAGAGAGCTGCATGTGACATGGGGCTTTTTGTGAAGAGAGAGTATTCCCACCATCGTCCCTTTGCACTGGCTAGTCAGCACTTTGCCTGGTTAGAGTAACTCACAGCTCAGTTTCCGGGGCGCCAGGCCCTCAGCAGGTGGCCCTGGACAATTCCTGGTCATCACCTCTGAACAGTAGCATAGATCTCAGCAGAATGTCCCTTCTTTACACCTCAAATCGAGACTTGTCTTCATGCTTGGACATTTCTCTCAAATGAGCACATCATTTTTCAAGTGGGAAAAATAAGAAGAGTCAAAAATAAGTAAAAGAAGTAAGTATAATAAAGTCAGTCCTCCCTGGCAGTACAGACATTCTGCAACAAGGTCAGGGTGAAGGAATGTGCTGTGTCAGAGGGGGAAAAAAGCAGCAATCTCCCCAATTCCTGTTGCTTATGCATTTTTTTAACCAGAAAGTCACTGAGATGCAAATGTGGAACTGTGTTTAAATCCTCACTTTCTGTGAACAAATGGTTGACTCCCCTTGGATGGTGGGTGAGGGAACTCTTAATATGTTTTTGAATTTGTAATAAGGCACAATGACAGATGGTAAAGGATTAATAAACTTGGTGTGACTACTAAAATAATTTAATCTGCCAGGAAAGGGCTCATTAAAAATGTATTTGTTCCTAGAGGAAATTTTTTTTCCTCATTAAAATGAGTCAAGGACCAGAGTCTATGACTAAACTGGCCAGGCCTCCTGAAGGCAATGCAGGAGCCACTGAATGGGGACAGGGGTGCTCTGGGAAGGGGTTCTTTGGAACCTTCCTTCTAGGTCCCTCTGTGAGTAAGGGGGAGTACAGATGATGAGAAGGGTGGGGGCAGCTGAGGAGCCACTGTTCTGGATGAACTTTATGTTGATTAGACAGGCCAAGAAACTTCACAGTACTTGTGTAGTTTGTCCCCTTTCTCCTGGTGGTCATCCTCAGTTTCTTTCTCTCATCTCTCCTTTTACTTTCTGTTGTAGATCTACTTTTCTTTCCCTTGACCTTCTGGCTCTGTCTTTTTTCCATGTCTTTTTCCCATTTTCCTTCCCTCCTAGGGAGCTTATCCTGGTCTTGGGCTAATTCTCAGGTACCACTTATACCTAAGACCCTTCTGGAGTGGATATGGATTATCACAGAAAAACACAACAAGGCACGATGATCACATAGAAATGACAAAAGTAACTAGACTGGGATAGGATTGAGGTCAAGTTTCACAGCTTTGAGAGCCTAGGGAGGTTCTGAACCACCCTGAACTGAGAGGCTGAGGCAAGAGGATCCCATTTCAGCCCAGCCTGGGAAACTTAGCAACTTAGTGAAACCCTATCAAGAAGAAGAGAGTGGATACTGGAGATGAAGATATAGCTCAGTGGAAAGGCCCCGGGTTCAATCTCCAGTGCAAAAGCAAATAAGCACACAAACCAGAATGTATCATTGATCAGTGTAAAGTTAGGAGGAGAGTTTCACACAGAGACTAGTACAGAATAACTATTATTTTCATGCCTTTTCTGCTGACAGTGAAGAGCTGCTTTCTGCTGCTGGTAGCAGCAGGACTCCCAGGAAGACATCTGCGGGGAGGTAGAGATACACAATCCCAGCACTGCACTGGTGGGAAGCTTCTTTTATTAAAATAAAAGGAAAGAGATAAAGCACATTGGACAGGTCTTCCTTTGGTGGAAATTGACCCATAAGGCTATTATGTTCAGAGAGATCACGTGGTTCCAAAAAATGATAATGAAAATGTTACAGATGGCAAAGGCCTCCCTACAAAGCAGGTACCTGCTCATTCAAGATGAGGCGTTCACTCAATTCACTTCCAGACAGAAAAGAAATTGAACAATCATGTGTAGAACATTTTGACCATAACTCAAATTATAAATACAGACACCTTTTGAAACAGGAGTTCCATGCGATGAAATAAATAAGCATACATAAATGACAAATACACCGGAATTATTTGTGACAGCATTATTAGAAAAAGGAAAGCCATTAGAAACCTGACATCCACAGGTGGAAAACTGGTTGAATTAATTGACACACATCCACATAACCTCGTGTGTGATATATCTACTGCCATTAAAAAGAATGGCATGAATCTAGCTGGAGTGAAATGGAAAGAGTTCCAAAACAGAATATTAAGCTTAAGAATAAATCAAGGCACAGAACAATGTATACTTGGTGTGCTACCAAGTGTGTAAAAGGACACAAGAAAACAAATCTTTGTGTACTTGCTTGTCTGTGCATAGACTGTCCCCAGCAGGGCATAGGAGAACAGATTGCCTTGGCTGAGCCTTGGGAGCAGGGGTGTGAAGGAGTTTTCAGTGTCCATCTCCCTATGTGCATTTTGAATTTTGAACCATTAGACTATTGAAATGCAATGAAATAGTTTTTAAATCTCACCTAGCTGTTGGGCTCTAGGCCTTCTAGTGAGGATACACTCACGGGGCAGAGACCTTGTTGGCCACCTGCCTTGGGCTCAGCTCCCTAGGCCTCTAATGTGCTTTCTCTTCACAGTGCGGAGTCGGGTGGGCTGGTGATGGCTTTGTCTGTGGAAGAGATGTGGACATTGACAGTTATCCTGATGAAGAACTTCCATGCTCTGCTAGAAACTGCAAAAAAGTAAGGGGGGCGAGGTGTGTATGTATGTGTGGGCCGAGAGGATATATACACACACAGAGACACTGTGGCTTTCCAAAGCCACATCTTATATGGGGATGAGTTCTTCAATTTCCATTAAAATTGCATTAGAGTAGCTGTATCTCAAATTAAGCAGAACAGCGAGCAATAACAAATCCTGGCAGCTACATCTATTGAGATCAGAAATAGTTTTTGACATAAGACAGTTATAGGATATCACTCTGATCTGTTTTCCCCCTTAGGACAACTGCAAATATGTACCAAATTCTGGCCAAGAAGATGCAGATGGAGATAGCACTGGAGATGCCTGTGATGAAGATGCCGATGGAGATGGAATCTTGAATGAGCAGGTACCTGCTTTGTGGGGAAGGCCTGCGAACTGCCAACTACCAGGGACAATGAAAGAAAGCCCATGAACTCAACTATATTAATCATCACAAATGTGTGTTTGATAGCACTGCAACTTGTTCTTCTATAAGATTGCAAATGTTTAAAATATGACATTGGCAGACTTGGGCCACCAATATTCTGCCCACTGGTAACAGGGTAAATACATTCAATGGAAGTCTGAACAAGTGTCTCATCTTTTAGGATAACTGTGTCCTGACTCACAACGTGGACCAGAGAAACAGTGACAAAGATATCTTTGGGGATGCCTGTGACAACTGCCAAACTGTCTTAAATAATGACCAGAGAGACACTGATGGAGATGGAAGAGGAGATGCCTGTGATGATGACATGGATGGAGATGGTGAATTTGCTTTGCTCTCTCTTTTCTTTGAGATCCATTTGTCCTTTTGTCCTTGTACTCTGTTGAGAGTAGGAATAGAATTGCGGACTCAGACATAACCCCCATCTAGTAGTTCTCCTCAACTAGGTATCTGGAGACCCAAGGCTGGCTTGCTTGTGTGGAGGTAGACTCTATGGCCCTCATTCCCATTCACTAACCCTGGATGTTTCCGAGACTCTATACCAGAAACATCATAAGAATTTATTCCAGCAGTGCTATATATCAGGACTGTGTCTTTGCAGGGTTTCTGCCATCTCAGGTTATACTCTGTCCACTTCCCAGCACCTTTCTTACATGTGAGAGACCTGGAAGACAAAACTTTCAGACACACCCAGACACAGCCCCTCCATCCTGAATTTCTATACCTTCATAAAAATATGACTTTATCTTCTATGAGCCCACTGACGACCCCACTATCCAGTGGTGTCTTGGTAAACTAGCCAAAAAGCAACCAGACATCCCTGATTCATAGCATTTGTCAATTTCCATGATGTTACTACTATCATCATTGATTTCAAGCTATCAGTATGATATCATTGAATGCAAAATTGAGAAAAGAGGAACTCAGTACTTAGTTGCAGAATACCGCTGCCCAGAGCCCTTGGGTCCATCATAGCTCAGATACTATTAGGGTCTTCCCTTTCCGGGGTCATTCCACTTAGCCCCCTCTCTGGTTGCTGTCATGGCCCTTGACATCTTGCACAAATAAGAATTCAGTGAATAAATGTTTCAGAGAGTTGTTCATTTTTAAATCTCCCAGAATCCTTCCTTAGAAGTTACCTCCAGGTAACAACTGAGAAGGGGAGTGACTGTGCACAGTGGCCCTGCAGGAGTAACTGACTGCAGGACCGACCTGTACAGCACCTGGAAGTCAGCCTGTTCCATCCCCATCTGTGATGTTTCCTTGAGCCAAGGTAGTATTTTTTTCTTGCAGGAATAAAAAACATTTTGGACAATTGCCAGAAAGTCCCTAATCGTGACCAGCGGGACAAGGATGGTGATGGCGTGGGGGATGCTTGTGACAGTTGTCCTGAAGTTAGCAATCCTAACCAGGTTAGTGGGAAATCCAGTCTGTAGGCTGAACTCCCTTATGCAGAGACTCTTTAAAGATCAGTGCCTTAGAAAAACATGGCGGAGCCTGTTGGCCAATTCTTTGCCCCTACCACTATGTAACAGAGCACAGGTGGAGAAATGACACACATTAGGTTGATGGGACAAACTCATAAGAGTCTGGGAAGGGATCCCTGAGGCCCTGAGGACTAATCTCACACCAGCAGAGTGCAGATTATTTTAGTAACATAAGCTTAATGAGGCCCAAAATAAGAAATTTTTTTCTGGTGAAAGGAAAATGAAAACCACCATTTGAGGCCTAATCATGTGTGTCTTTAATCCCCAAACTGCTACACAGCCTATGTATAGATGTTTCAGATTAAACTCAGTCAATGATGTGTTGAGTTTCTCTCCTTACCTCCTCCCTATCTGGCAATGGGACAGGATGTGCCATTTTTTTCTGAATCCCTGAGGGAAGTCATTGTTGCCTTCTGTGACTCACTCTCCATTTTGACTCAATTCCAAAATGCAGAACCAAGGCAAAGCCAATTTTCTTTGTCCCTATGCCTAGGGCTGGCTCTTTTCTGACCTATGCCAGAGCTCCACATCTCCACCTGCCATCATGCTGCCCTGGCATCCTTTTGGAATGAGCTCATCTGGTGTGTAGGCAGTTCATCCATAGAGCTTGATATTTTAGAAGGCTCTTTTGAAAATTCAGCATTGTGCCTACACCAATACAATGTCCTTTTGCAGTTTTGTACCACCCCAGTTCCAGAGAAATAATTCCTAAAATCCAGTGATGATATGCCGGGTCTGCCTCGTCTGGAACATTCTGTACATGCAAGCTGTGGGCTAAATAACACACTCTGTTCTCTCCGCAGTCTGATATGGATAATGATCTGGTTGGGGACTCCTGTGATACCAATCAGGACAGGTATGGCATATCCAGCTGCAGAGAGGCAGATGCCAAAATCTAGAGTGTTAATTTTCAGAGCTTTCTGCTGATACCATGTTTTGGGATCCTCTGGGTGGGTTGGGCTTCTGGTAGGAAAATAACTGGCTCTGGTCAGGGCCACTCTACATCTCTAACAATGCTGGGTAAGGGTGATGGGGTTGGAATGGGCCATTAGACACCCCAGAAAATGAGCTCTATTGTGGGAGATTGTGGGAGAGGCAGTACAGTATCATGTTCTATAGAAGGGCTCTGGAATGAAACAGCCAGATGCAAATGCCAGCTCCTTCCCTTAAAGGTGACTAACTAGCTTAGTTACTTAATATCTCTGTGGCTCAATTTTCTCATCTGTGACAGGGGATGACAGGAGATCTAGATCAGAGGGCTATTATGAAGAAGACTGAGTTAAACCACAGAAATTGCTTATTCTGGTTTCTATTGTACACAGTACCACTGTATAACACTAGACAGACACTAGTTGTTATATTGTTTGTTGTTATATTCTTTCAATTCAGAAAATCTTCATCATCATCCCCACATAGAAGGCTGTCAGTTTGCTGAGGGATCATTGTCAGTAAAATTTTCTCATTTAGTTTTCATTAAGTGGAATTATTCTATGTGAGTGCATTTGACCAGCTTTCCTAGCCCAACACAATGGAGTCCCATATTAAGACCAGTTCTGGCTAGGGGGTATAGCTCAGTGGTAGAGTGCAAGGCCCCGAGTCCAGTCCCTAAGACTTAAAAAATAGACCAGGCTTGATCAGATGCTGGAGAAATATCACAAAGACAAAAATATAACTATATGCCACTCAGCCCTGGAGCCACTTACAGCCCACGGGTCTAGCCTTCAGTCTCCTTGCACAGTTCTTGAAGAGGCAGTCAGAATACAGATGAGAGAGCAGGATCCCAAAAGGCCAATCAAGAAGAGACATAGCTTCTCTCCTAGTACCTGGATCTAGAAGGTTGAGGTTGCCCTGCAGACTCGTTCTCCGCTCAGCCTTCACTTAAGGACAGCTCTAAGTCCCATTTGCTTCATTGTGCTCCACAGCCTTGCTTCCAAGTGCAGACTAGCTGAGTGAACTTAAATATATTCCCAGGTCTCGATTTCTTCATCTGCAAAGTAGAGATAATGAAATGCATCTCACAGGTTATGGTGAAAATTTAAGATAATGAGGGTAAAGTTCCTGGCACAGCACAGGCCTCAGGTGTCGCATGGAGAATGGTGGCTGTGTATTGGTATCACAGCACAAGACGGGTGAATTAGTAACAGAGTCTGATATTGACTGTCTATCTCCAGTGCAGAGTGGAGGGTGGAACTGGCATTTCCACAGCTACTCTAAATCATATACAAGAAGAATGTCCCCAGTTGTGGGACCTCCTATATCTGATTACCAATTAGAGTAATTTCTAAAACATTCCATCCCACCAACCTCTAGATATTTGCCTAAAAAATTGACTAATTCTACTTCATTTTTAATTCCTACAAAGTTGAGCCTCGGGAAGAGGATAGAAACAGCTTGTTTTTGCATACAAATATTTGGAACTCTACAGAATGACCACTAATGGAAACAGCTTCATCCTGTGTTTGAAAAAGCAGCCCTGCTGCGTACATAGGAATTCTGCTGTTTAAGTCATAACCCTCTGCTTGTCCAGGTTGGCCTCACTGTGACCCTCTGTCCCTCATAGCTATCTAGAAAATGTGGCCCTAAGGCTACAGGCTGGTCTCTGGCCTTCCTCCTCTGTCCCTTCCTGGAGGGTGTAGGTGCAGCACCTAGCCCACAACAGGGAAGAGAGCAAGAGAAGGGTAAAGGGAAAATCCAGCCAGACATGGTGTTGCATGACTGTGATCCCAGCTGCTTGGGTGGATGAGGCACGAGGACCACAAGTTTGAGGCCAACCTAGGTAACTTAGTGAAACTCTGTCTTAAAATAAATGGGTGGGAATATAGCTCAGTGATAGAGCACCCTTGAGTTTGATTTCCAGTAATGGGAAAAAAAATCTCTCATTCTGAGTAATCATTGGAGGTCTCAACAAACTCAGGGAACCTCTGGGGGCCAACAAAGACTCACCTTTAGGTGACTCTTCAGCCTGAAAGAAAAGTGAGATGGACAGATAGTAAGCTCTCTGAAAAGTCCTTTAGACACACCTGGGGCCCAGCTTACACATCCATGTCTCAGGTAGAAGTGGCTCTATTCTCTGCCACCCTCCCCATGGCATTCAGCTCTGAATCCTAGGTGGGTCTGCTGGCCAGGGACAGTGCACAACGGAGACAAATAGAAAGCCCTGTAGACTTCCTCCCAAGTCAGGGGAAGGAAGTGCCTTTTCAAATATTAAAATTTATTGTGCAGAATTCCAATTATTTAATCTTCATTGAAACCCTATGAGGCAGTTTTGTTATCCCTGACAGATGAGGATACTGAGAATAGAGGTCAGGTACATGCCTAGAGTCACCACACATGGGTGGCTGAGCCAGGATTTGCACTAAAGTAGCTCCATTGTCTTTCACTCTGTGTCCTTCACATGTCCTCTGAGTCAGCTATCATCTATATTTCCCTGGGATGGACAGGAGCCTCTGGTCACAGATCATAGAAATAGACTCTTTCTTGTTTAAAAAAAATTTTTTTTATACCGCGGATTGAACTCGGGACCTTGTGCTTGTGTGGCAGGCAGCAGAACCACTGAGCTAAATCCCCAGCCCTGAAATAGACTCTTACCTTCTTGAGGAAAAAATGGATAGATTATTTTAAGAGGTTGGGGAAGTACAATTATTGTCTCTGAGGCCTATAGGGAGCCTTATCAAAGGACTAACCTCTTGTGGGTTGATAAAAACAAGGTTGGTTAAAAACAAACAAAAAAATCACCCTCCCAAAAAACCCCAAACAACATCAACAGATTCTCTTTCCTGAGAATGGATGCCCCTGTTCCCTGCTGAACTGTAATCCTTTCTCTTCAGTGATGGAGACGGCCACCAGGACAGCACAGACAACTGCCCCACTGTCATCAACAGTGCCCAGCTGGACACAGATAAGGATGGAATTGGTGATGAATGTGATGAGGATGATGACAACGATGGCATTCCAGACCTGGTGCCCCCTGGACCAGACAACTGCCGGCTGGTCCCCAACCCAGCCCAGGAAGATAGTAACAGTAAGCAGACTCCTTCCAGCCAGGGCTGGGTACATGTCTCTCCCTAGGACTGAGGACTCAGCAATCCCAGTTTTGCCACTTCTTGGTGGCTGCTGCTTCTAACTGGCTTCTCCATGTAGCTACAGCTTTGTGAACAGTACACATGTAGCAGAAACAGCAGTATCCAGCTTGGCCAGAGCTGATTGATTGTGTGTCTTGAGCAGCCTGAAATTGAGAGCACACAGATCAAGGCAGCAGCCACACGCTCCAAGCAGTTCAATCCCCAAGGGACTTGGAGAGCCATTCCACTGCCTTGCTTGCTCCTTCAGTAGGTATTTCCAAGAGAGGAGTGGATAGAAACAAGGGCACAGCAGAAATGGTGAAGACAAGGGCCACAAACTAAGATGCATGTAGGGGCCATGCAGGCAAGGAAATGTATGCACTGAGATGACAAGGAGCTAGTTAGAGGGACTGTGGTCACTTGGTAAGTGCTCATCAAGGTGATGCAAATTCAGGTGCTTCAAATGCCATGTCAGCTGAACTAAACATATTCACGGAGCAGATGCAGCCTAGGGGCCACCAGAAGTTAGTCTCAGAGAAATTCTAAAAACAACAGCAATTTCCCTGGTTTGTGTACAAAATAGTCCAGAAAATGATGTTTGCTTCTGTTACGATCAAGCTTAAAATCCTCCAGGTGGTGAAACCAACATGATAGGAACTTCTGGGGGTAGGTTTGAAGGCAGTTGTTCAAACTGATATTATGGGAAAGTCTGAGTGTTGTGAAGGCCTGGTCAGCCACCATGAGGGCTCCAGGATGAGGGCCTGGGGCCATCTCTGTCTCCTTTCCTGTCACTGCTGCAAATCATCACCCTCCGGGTGGGAGCTTGGGCCTTGATTCTCTGCCCTGTTAAGCCCCCTTGCTCTGTTGAGGACTGATGGGCATGGGTGCTATTGAGTCCTACCCCTTTTCTTCCCAACTCAGGAGATGGGGTGGGAGACATCTGTGAGACTGACTTTGACCAGGATCAGGTCATTGACCGGATTGATGTCTGCCCGGAGAATGCAGAGATCACCCTGACTGACTTCAGGGCCTACCAGACAGTGGTCCTGGATCCTGAAGGCGATGCCCAAATTGACCCTAACTGGGTGGTCCTGAACCAGGTCAGTGTCACATGGTTGGAAACAGCTCAAATCTGCCTCTCAACAGAGGCCCTTCTGATAGCAGCAGGCAAATTTTAGAGGGAGCTGGCTGTGCCAGGCATGTATTCCTCATAGCAGCCTGAATTAGAGTACTATATTTTCATTACGCCCATTTCACAGATGATGAAGATGAGTCTTGCAACACTTCAGTGATTGCTCATGGTAGCACTGGGGTACATCATTGAGATGGTTAAAATTGGAACCTAGGCAGCCTGACCCTAGAGCCACATTCCCGACCTCTCCATCAAACTTTACCTGTGTGTCCTCAGTGTGTAACTAAGAAAAGAAGACACAGAAAGACTTTTCAGAGTCACAGAGAAAATCATACTCATTACAAGCATATGTTGTATGTTTGCCAGTTAAGGGTGGATTGAATCAGCTTAAGTGAAAGTCTTAGCAAAATTATTTCTACTCAACACTGAGCCTTCTTTCAACCTCCTTTACTAGTTTGTGCTTTCTGTGAGTTCAAAATGAGATATAGCAACTACCCAGATAATGTATTTTTACATGGAAATCATATGTCACTGGCCATCACTCATGGTGCCTGAGGCTCTGGGGTTCCCCAGGTTCACTCAGCCCCCTTCAGAATTTCTCTAAACTCCCTCTCCTTTCTCTACAGGGCATGGAGATTGTGCAGACCATGAACAGCGATCCTGGCCTGGCTGTGGGTAGGTTCAGGGCCCCAGTTAGCATTCATAAAGAATCTTGTCAGCTGTTAATGTGGGGTGTCTATTTTTCTAATCATATCTAATCTCTGTAGGGTACACAGCTTTTAATGGAGTTGACTTTGAAGGCACCTTCCATGTAAACACCCAGACAGATGATGACTACGCAGGCTTTATCTTTGGTTACCAAGACAGTTCCAGTTTCTACGTGGTCATGTGGAAGCAGACTGAGCAGACTTACTGGCAAGCCACGCCTTTCAGAGCTGTGGCAGAGCCTGGCATTCAGCTCAAGGTATGGGGGCTTGAAGCCCCTCATCTTCCTTTCTTCTAGGCCATCCAACCTCCTTTTACACTCTAAGCTCTAAATGGCATGAAGTTGATCTAAGAAATTAATGGAATTGATGCTCATGTTCAGCTCAGGGAAGAGTGAACTGGCATAGGGCCTTGCCTTCATTCATAACTATCTGGTGGGACAGCAGCCTGAGTGGAATCAAAGGGCTGGGGAAGGTTGGGATGCATCTGCAGTCATGCTGTGTTGCAAGCTGGCTGATCACTTTATCAGTGAGGCAACCTGCTTTCAGGAGGGCTGGTGGGTTACCTCTGTCAATCTTGCTGGGAGAGAAGGCAGGCTTCAGTAGCCAGACATTTGGTGGGAGCCATCCTTGGGCAAATGTGGGGAGAAATGGATGGATAGCAGGACAAAGTGCAATGAGTCCTGAGTGCAGTACTGTTTACTGCTTAGTACTAAGAGGCTGTGGTCACCTTAGTAGAACTGACATATAAGTGTTTATGCTTTTCTCTGAGCCCAAGACAGTCTGATTGTAACCATGAATTCACCACTATATCATCATTTCTGACACAGGAAGCAAGAAGGAAATCTCTATGTCCTATTCTAATACCTTGATTGTGTCTTTATCCAGGCTGTGAAGTCCAAGACAGGTCCTGGGGAGCACCTCCGGAACTCCCTGTGGCACACAGGAGACACTAGTGACCAGGTCAGACTGCTGTGGAAGGACTCCAGGAATGTGGGCTGGAAGGACAAGGTGTCCTACCGCTGGTTCCTGCAGCACAGGCCCCAGGTGGGCTATATCAGGTAGGCAGAGATTCACTCTCCACCCCTAGCACCAGAAACAAAGTGCCATTCCGTTTTGCACCTGGAGTGAGTTCCCTGAACATCCTTGACCTGGACAGTTCTCCAGGACTTGCCAGGGGTCCCAGAAAAGAGTGATAAGACAGCCAGAGCTACACTGACACCCAAACAGGAGGAGAAGCTGGGGATGGAAGGAGTGTTGGGGGAGGCCTGAGCTATGGGTGAATGAGTATACCTGCATGGCAGTGCCCTTGCGCTGTGCTCAAGGGACAGGTGCAGAGTCGTACTGCTAATAGGCATGAAGTAAAAGTGTGGCTGAAGCACCATCAAACTCTCTTGAGACCCCTGAGACCCTGTGTGATTTACATGGAATGGCCTGAGCCCTTGACTTGTCTTTCCTTATGGACTGCAAACTCCAGCTGGGCAGCTCCTGTGTCCTTTCCATCTTATTTTTGCCAACACCCAGCCCAGCTCCTGGCACAAGCTGTTCATCAGGGAGGACAGCATGATCTGTCTTACTGCTTTTAAGGTCTGTGTTTTTAAATTGGTTGCAGAAAGTATGATGGCTTAGGGCTGTATCTTTGAAATTTAGATAATGTACTTAGTTTTTCATTTCTCTAACTCACAGATCAGCCTGTGTAGATGCCAACTTGTGTAGTATACCTACAAAGGAGTATGAATTGCATGTTTCAGACTGGGGCAGGAAAGCAGGCTGGTGGGAAAATTAACGTCATGAGGCCTGATTCATATTTTGCTCTTCTTTGTGACAGTATGTCAAATGTACTCAGTTGGTCTCATATTAAGGCTGACTATGCCTGATCACATTCTTAACCCTTTAAACCCGCACCCCTCTTTTTATGAGAAATATTTTGAAATGCCTCCTTTTGGTCCCAAATGAAATTGTGGTAAACATAAGCTAGCTGGGCTTGGTGGTATGCACCTCTATTTCTAGAACTCTGAGAGGCTGATGCAGAAGGATTGCAAATTGAGCCTAGCCTAGGCAATTTAGTGACTTAGTGAGGCCCTGTCTCAAAAAAAAAAAAAAAAAAAAAAAAAGGTACAGTTTTAGTTCAGTGTGAAGACTCTGGGTTCAATCTGTAGTACCACAAGAAAAAGAAAAAAAGAAAATGTAACCTACTGACACATATAGTCTTTGAAAAATCAACCTGAAAAAAAAAAGAAAAAGAAAAATCAACCTGAACTACACAACAAAATCACGTAAATGCTTGAGCACAACCACACTAAGTCAAATGAGGTAGGACTGCATCCATTCCTGAATCACTGTGGAGGTGACATTCAAATACAGATTGATGTATATCTAAATTAAATATTACAGTAGTATTGCCAACAGTGATATCACATCTTAAAATCGTGACAACTCTTAATTTTTAGACAAAGCAAAATACTCAGCACTTTCCCAATTTACTCTAGAAAATTCAATTTACATTAAAATCAATGCAAAATATACTTGATGTTTATAAATAAAAGAGAGTTATGTTCTTGGTCCTGGTTATTATGAACAGTATGTTCACATTTCTGTATGCCTACAAGAACACATCAAAAGGGTCCTGGGTGAAGGACAAACATTGACTGTTCTCTCCAGGGTGTTGTAAACCTTCCATTGTCCCTGGCTTCTGTCACTCTCTGCTGCTGTGACAACCCACAGTGCCCTCACAGAGTTCTGACCCTCTGCTGAGGGAGTGTTGTCTCCTGTTGAGGATGATGGCTCTGAGAGTCACTGAATGATGGAAACCAGACCTTAGGCAGAGCAGATATCCAGGTTAGGGACTGTTATAAAACAGTCCCCAAAACTCTTGTCCATGATGTCAAACAATTTCTTTTCCACTCCTCAGTGAGTACCTATCAAGTTTGCTTTGTGCCCAACATCATGTTGGGCCAAGTTGGGAAGATGTAGACACACAGGTCCTGTCCTGGAGGAGCTTCCAACCTAGTAGGAAAGGAGGACCTGTTAGAGCATAATCCAGATCAGTGGAAAATAGAGTGTCAGAGTAAAGGGGCAGGTGTATAAATAAAAAAGAGACTCTGAGTCTCACTATGGGCACTTCACCCTGGCTTGGGTTCCATGGAGACCTACTCTGCCTGTGTTGCCTGCAGGGTGCGATTTTATGAAGGCTCTGAGTTGGTGGCTGACTCTGGGGTCACCATGGACACCACCATGCGTGGAGGCCGACTTGGCGTTTTCTGCTTCTCTCAAGAAAACATCATCTGGTCCAACCTCAAGTATCGCTGCAATGGTAATATACATTCTCATTACTGCACAATATTATTATGAGAATTATTTAAGGAATGCCATCTTGTTTTATAGCACACTTTTCCTGCAAAAGTCCAAAGTTCATGTTACATATTTATTAAAATCTGATAGTCCCTGTGTAAAAGGAGCAAAAAGTAGACCTCATTTTTCATATTTTATAGATATGAACTCTGAGACCCATACAATTTAACTGCATACTTAAGGGTTTGGGATTCAAGGAGAAATTCAGTGAGGCTTAATTCACAAGCAGCCTTTATTTTCATATGGCTCAAACATAATCACAGACTGAAAAGCCACTCTGCTAATTTTCTTTGGGTCTCTGAATGAGCACTGCTAGGCTTTAAGCCAACAGTGTGCCAAGTGTCCTGAAGCAGAAAATGGCTGCAGGGACTTGCAGGGCTTCTTGGATGGGCTGAGAGCTCCCCTTACAGGTGGTCGGTGCAGCTGCAGCATGCACAGGCCAGGATTCCAGGGTGGGAGGAGCCCAACTAACCAACTCCTGTGATCTTATTGCAGACACCATTCCTGAGGACTTCCAAGAGTTTCAAACCCAGCATTTTGATCGATTGGATAATTAAACAGAGGAAGCAATCTGTTACTGCTTTTCCAAACATGAAAACTATGTATTTTTAAACTTCCTATAATTTCTTTACATACAGTGTGGCTTTCTTTTACCAGCCCAAACATATCAGAACCTTTTATATGAAAGTGGAAATAAAGGATCATTTCTAATAACTGTGTTGCTGCCCAGAGTGCCTGTGTGTGGCTGGAGTTTGATGGCAGATGTTATTCTCTGAAGGATTCATGTTCCATTTGGGAGGTGATCTTGTTTCCTCAAGCTGGATATTCTGCAAAGTTGAGCTTGTTCATGTATCAGAAGGCCCAGGCACAACACCTCACCTGTGGTTACCCTAGTTACCTTCACATGAAATGCCTCAACTCAGCAGCCCTCTCATTCTGGGTAGAGAGTCTCAGAAACATGAATCCAGGGGCACCTTTCCTTCCCTATGAAGACTCTTTCCAGCAAGGGGTTATGGAGGAGATCTTGTCTGCAGAGGAGGAGGAGAAAAAGTCAGACGAATCCCTCACTTCAAGTGAGATTAGGGAGATGTATACACATATGGGAAACTGCAAAATTTTGTAGAAAAACACCACCCAAATAAGACTATAGTAGTCTGAGCTATGAATCTGTTTGACAATGCAAGGTCACATTTCTGTGAAATCCTTAAAAGGAGGCAAAAACAAGTGGCATTGGATAGGTTCCTTGTTAAAGTTGCACAAAAAGAAAGATTCCATTGAGCCAATAGATAGCAGTGATTTTGTTAGTGATAGTGGGAGTCACAGACTAACCCTCCTCTTTCTTGTCTCCCTCATACTAGCCACAAAGGTATTCAAGGTAAGTGCAGGTTAATCTGTCCATTTTTCTTTGTATTTTGTATTTTCTTTGTCATTTTGGATTATATTTCACTATTGTAATCATTTTTATATGAATATTTTGGGGTTGTGGAATGAATCATCTAAATTTCCACTATTTCTTATCAGAAAATATACAAGTGCTTTGGATTACAAACATGTTTCTGGAATGAATTATATTCACAAACCAAGGTTTTATGGTAAGATTACTGAAAATAAAGGATTTTGTCTTTATTACAGTTAGCATCTCCTAGTATGAATAAGCTGTTCAGTAAACATTTGTTAGATAAGTAAATAAAAATGAAAATGAATGCTTCTTAAGTAACAATGATGGTATCGTGTAGATGGATAGTGTATACTCTCCTATAGTTCAAAAAGCTGCTCTCAACATACGTTCTAATTATGGTAGCAACAGGAGTTATATATGCAAGGTAGAAACTTGCCTGATTTGTACATTTGCCTTTCTTTTTTTCTATTTGTAAGCCAAAGGTCTGGGGAAAGAAAATTTAGTTCAAAGAATATTGCTAGATAGTAATTTTCAGACTTCCCACAAATAGTTTAAAGCATAAAGGATAAGCATTCTTAAGACAGTGCTACCAGGATTTTAGTAGTCAGAAAATATGACAGTGTATGAATGAGCAACATGAGACCTGGAGGACACCCTCCTTACATGTAAACCCTACAGGTATGTGTTGCCTTCCACAGAATTCAGGATGTTGATTTACATCAAGATCTTCAATAGGTGGCAAGAACTGAAGCCTGTCCACCAACTGCTACCACTGCTGACTACCTAGGTACCCAGGGGAACCTGCTACAGGACCAGGCTTCCAAAGATCCCTGGGCCAAATTGCTGCCAGAGCCTCTTCTCAGTCTATGGTCAAAAGGTCCACATCCACAAATATTTCCCTTTCCAAAACCCCAGGAAGAAGGGAATAGGAGGTGAATTTTCCCTTTTCCTCACCTTTTACATTTCACAGAAAGATAATTGCTTGAGCCCTTAGGTCTTCTGAGAACTCTCTGGCCCATTTAGTCTTACCCCTATTCTATGGTGCAGACTGAATATACCTTTACAGCTGTTTTAGATTCCTTTCTGTGAAGCTTGTGACATTTTATAAAGCAGTCTCTAGGAAGGTTGCAAATGCTCTTCTAATTTTCATTCTTATCACTGAAGTATGTCAAATTCTGTATGCAAAATATTCTCATGTTAGAGGAATTTGCTATATGTACAAGGCAATCACAATAAATAGAAGCAGAAACCAACTCTTTAATTTTTAGGAATTTTGGGAGCCAGTTTTAACTGTTGATAGTTTGATATTGGCCATTGTTGGGGTGTTTACACTATGGAAATTCTCAAACACTACAAGTTGGGGCTCTGAAGAACTGGTGATTAAACATGCATCAAGACACAGCCAGAAGTACTACCTTGTCCTAGTCCTAGTTATCCCACCATTGTATCTTGGAACCTGAGGTGGAAAACTTGAACCTTTAAGAAAACTGTGAAAGAAGTGGAGAAGTGGAAAACAAATTGTAAAAACTAGGAAACACTGGCAAAAGGTTAGCCAGATAGGCTCTAGGAACAGGTTAGTGGGTGTGGTACCTTCTTTCCCAGGTTACTCCCTGGGTGTCTGGAGTGCTTTAAATATTAAACTTTGCTTCAATGACTTCTATTAGAATTCTATTGGGTTATTAAGATTCTTATTTAAATGTAACTTAAAAGCAACAGCTCTTCTATTTGGACTGGCCACCACTCACTCATTCACTAGTATGAATTCATTCCCATGCCTATCCTCTGCTGACTTCTCATTAAAGGTACTGAGGAAATGGGAAGTGTAGCTGTGAAGCAGATCATCATGTCACTGTGAGGAAAGGATGATGTTTAGGTGGAAACCCACTGTGAGGGCTCAAATATGAAGTGTTTCCAAAGACTTCATGTAGTGAAGGTTTTGTGTCCATAGAACAATGTTCAGAAGTGGAGATTTTGGAAGATGTTTCAATTATGAGGACTATAACTTCAACAGAGGACTAATCCTTTGGTTCATTATTTGTTGACATTATTGGAAGGTGATGAAAACTTAGGAGGTGAAGCCTAGTTGAAGGGAGTGGGGAATGGGAGCAGTCCTTGGGAACTGTATTTGACACTAGTCTCTCTCTCTCTCTCTGTCTCCTCACCCTACTTTTTTGGCTTGTTTGTTTTTTCAGACAGAGTGTTGCTTTATAGTGCAGACTGGCCTTGAACTCACTAGGTAAACCAGACTAGCCTTGAACTCACAGCAATCCTCCTACCTCAGCCTCCCCAGTGCTGGGATTACAGGCCTGTGCCACCACACCCAGAGTTCTGCCATGAGGTGAGAAGCATTTCTCCATCACACCCTTGCACCATGATATTCTGCTTCCCCAAAGGATCAGAAGCAATGAAACCAAACAACCATGGACAGAAACCTCCGACTGTGAACCAAAATAAAGCTTTCTCCTTTAAGTTGATTTCTCAGTTATCACACTCACAAGATGGAAATGGAAAGCTGATGAACACACCCACAAGATGCAGAGGAGAGCTCTTAAGGCTTGGAAAGCCACCTGGCTATCTTGAGAAGTCCTGGGCATGGAGCAGGTGCAGAAAAGGAGGGGCCATGCATTCTGCCTCCAACCAAGAGAAAGACAGGAAGTGCTTCCATCTTCCTGCCCAATTATCAGTCCTGTGTTTCACAATTATAATTGGCCATATCTTATTTTTTGAAGATGGCCTATAGAATCAAAGAAAATGAGAGAGATACAGAATCCAGTCACCTATTTTTACATACCTGCATGAATTTTTTATGGTCAAAACTAGAAAAGTAATTGGAACCATACATAGCAAAAAAATTAAAAATAAGGTGAAGGAACTTGAGAACTAGAAATAAGTCGTATGGTTTGGAAGCAGTGAGATGTGAAGCACTTCTGTGAAGGCATATCCTTGGGTTCCTAGTAACACTGGGAGTATGAAAGTTTCAATATTTTCTTCAGAGACAGGCAAAAAGCCCCCTTCGATGTTCATAACTACAAATCTTACACCCTTGCCAAAATTTTTGGTTTATAATCAATGATGGCTCATTGAGAAATTCATCAGAAATTTCTGTAGCTAGTATACTTTCCTTAGTGGAAAATCTCTTTAAGTTCAAAGAAAATTTAGAAATAAGTACAGAGATAGGGATATAAATTGAACCCATCATCCTAATATATTTGTGTAGCATTAGCTTTTCATTACTGTGACAAAATACCTAAGGAAATCAACTTATAAGGAGGAAAGTTTTATTTTGTCTTATATTTTCAGAGGTTTCAGTCCATTGCCACTTGGCCTTATTGCTTGTGCCTGTGACAGCTTGTCATGGCAGGAGCACATGACTGAGGGAGCCTATTCAACTATTCATAGTGGCCAGGAAGCAAAGATAAAGACAGGAAGGGCTGGGGTCCAAAGTCCCCTCCAAGGGCACACACTCAGTGACCTAAATTACTTCCACCTCTTAAAGGTTCCACCACCTCCTGGAATGCCACAGGCTGCTGACCAAATTTTTAACACATAGGCCTTTGGGGGACACTTCCAAACAATAGCAGAATTATTAAGAGATATTTATAGCATTAGAAATATTTAAGAAAATTTGGCATATTAGAAATTTTCCAGATTGAACTTGTGATTCCAACTTAAGGTGTATAGCTAAGTACTTGACATGTGCTTTTAAGTTGAAAGATAGTGGTAAATTGGGTCAAATATGTATTATAAATAATAATGTCATGGTTAAGATGATTTAAATTGCACTATATTTATAAATTTTTTATTTTTAGAAGAGTTACCTAAGTCCCTAAGCAGGCTCATCAGACAAACAATAGAAAAATTACATATTAGAAGTATCAATGCAATTTAAAATATTTAAGAAAATTTAACTAAGTTTACCAATGACATTAAATATTCATTAAAACTTAAAAGTAACTATAAATTTTGCCATGGAATATATTTGTATACTTATAGAGTATAATATAGCACTGAAACTTTTGAGTTGCATTTATAAACTTTTGGTTTTACAATTTATAACTTTAATTTTTAAATATTTAAACTTTAAATATTAACTTTAAAAATGAGTGCCCCTATAAATTGTGATTTCTGCATACAAAAGCTGTTCTTATAAGCAAAAAATAAAGCCAACAAAAACTTGCACAATGACATCAACACTGATAAGACTCTTTTCATGAGTGTGAGGTTTAGGGAAATATTTCTTCACAGTCATTCTGGAAGGCAGTCTGCTTCTACACAAAGGAAGAAGGGACCTTGGCATGGCTATCCCAGGTCAGTGAATAACTTTCTGCACCAGGGCCAAGTGACCTGGGATTACCTACTCTCAGCCTTGAAAACTATTCCTCAGAAGAAGGCTGGCAGAGACTAATACTATGCCTTTGGATTTCCCACTCTCAAAAAACATGAACTAAATAAACCTCTTTCTTTTATAAGGGCTAAAAGCAGAGCAGAAAAAATTGAAAAACATAAATTTTGGCTCAGAAGGAACCACTTTAAAAAGTGTGGCCAAAGGAGTTGTGGTTGCTGAAGAGATGAGCACAACTAAAAATATAGGAAGTACGTTGTACAGGAACAAGAAGAAAGGTACCTTGAGAACATCTCAGAAGTCATCAAAACCCACCAATCATAG